GTTATTGGTGCATACGGGGCAGCTCTTATTGGTGCATACGGGCAGCTCTTATTGGTGCATACAGGGCAGCTGTTATTGGTGCATACGGGGCAGCTCTTATTGGTGCATACGGGGCAGCTCTTATTGGTGCATACAGGGCAGCTGTTATTGGTGCATTCGGGGCAGCTTTAATTGGTGCATACGGGGCAGCTCTTATTGGTGCATACGGGGCAGCTGTTATTAGTGCATTCGGGGCAGCTTTAATTGGTGCATTCGGGGCAGCTCTTATTGGTGCATTCGGGGCAGCTCTTATTGGTGCATACAGGGCAGCTGTTATTGGTGCATACGGGGCAGCTCTTATTGGTGCATACAGGGCAGCTGTTATTGGTGCATTCGGGGCAGCTCTTATTGGTGCATACGGGGCAGCTGTTATTGGTGCATACGGGGCAGCTCTTATTGGTGCATACGGGGCAGCTGTTATTGGTGCATACGGGCAGCTCTTATTGGTGCATACGGGGCAGCTCTTATTGGTGCATACGGGGCAGCTGTTATTGGTGCATACGGGGCAGCTCTTATTGGTGCATACGGGTCAGCTCTTATTGGTGCATACGGAGCAACTCTTATTGGTGCATACGGGGCAGCTCTTATTGGTGCATACGGGGCAGCTCTTATTGGTGCATACGGGGCAGCTCTTATTGGTGCATACGGGGCAGCTCTTATTGGTGCATACGGGGCAGCTCTTATTGGTGCATACGGGTCAGCTCTTATTGGTGCATACGGAGCAACTCTTATTGGTGCATACGGAGCAACTCTTATTGGTGCATATGGGGCAGCTCTTATTGGTGCATACGGGTCAGTTCTTATTGGTGCATACGGGCAGCTCTTATTGGTGCATACGGGGCAGCTCTTATTGGTGCATACGGGGCAGCTCTTATTGGTGCATTCGGGGCAGCTCTTATTGGTGCATACGGGGCAGCTCTTATTGGTGCATACGGGGCAGCTCTTATTGGTGCATTCGGGGCCGCTCTTATTGGTGCATACGGGGCAGCTCTTATTGGTGCATTCGGGGCAGCTCTTATTGGTGCATTCGGGGCAGCTCTTATTGGTGCATTCGGGGCAGCTCTTATTGGTGCATACGGGGCAGCTCTTATTGGTGCATTCGGGGCAGCTCTTATTGGTGCATACGGGGCAGCTCTTATTGGTGCATTCGGGGCAGCAGGGGAACAAAGACCTCATTCATATGAGGTCATAAAAAACATATATATTTTTCAGGTAATATATAAAAGGGTGTTAATAATTCAGCTTAGGTATACAGAGTATACAGAATATACAGAGTATACAGAGTATACTCCATCGTCTTGTAGTGGAGGCGAAGAGTGATGTGTGTGTGTACTCATATTTTTGTGCTTGCGGGGGTTGAGCTCTGGCTCTTTGGTCCCGCCTCTCAACCGTCAATCAACTGGTGTACAGGTTCCTGAGCCTACTGGGCTCTATCATATCTACACTTGAAACTGTGTATGGAGTCAGCCTCCACCACATCACTGCCTAATGCATTCCATCTGTCAACCACTCTGACACTGAAAAAAGTTCTTTCTAACATCTCTGTGGTTCATTTGGGTACTAAGTTTCCACCTGTGTCCCCTTGTTCGCGTACCACCAGTGTTAAAAATTTATCTTTATCTACCTGGTCAATTCATCTGAGAATTTTATAGGTAGTGATCATGTCTCCCATAACTCTTCTGTCATCCAATGTCGTGAGGTTCAGTTCCCGTAATGTTTCCTCGTAGTTCATACATCTCAGCTCGGGGACCAGCCTGGTGGCATACCTCTGAACCTTTTCTAACTTCGTTTTGTGTTTGACTAGATGTGGACTCCAGGCTGGAGCTGCATATTCCAGTATTGGTCTGACATATGAGGTTATCTTGAGTTATCTTGAGATGATTTCGGGGCTTAGTGTCCCCGCGGCCCGGTCCTCGACCAAGCCTCCTTTTTGTTACACCCTCTCAGGAAGCAGCCCGTAGCAGCTGTATAACTCCCAGGTACCTATTTACTGCTAGGTAACAGGGCATCAAAGTGAAAGAAACATTTTGCCCATTTATCTCCGCCTCCACCGGGGATCGAACCCGGAACCTCAGGACTACGAATCCGAAACGCTGTCCACTCAGCTGTCAGGCGCCTCAGTGTGGGGTGGGGATGGGAGGTATACAAGCTTTTGAATGATTCATTACTACAAGTTTCTGAAGGCAGTTATGTTCGCCAGCCTTGCATACGCCGCTGATGTTATACTTTTGATGTGGGCTTCGGGGGACAGGTCTGGTGTGAGATCAACTCCCAAATTTTCCTCTCTTCCTGACACCTGGAGGATTTCCACTCCCAGCTGGTACCTTGTGTTTGGCCAAGATGGTCAGTGTGGGATGGTCAGTGTAGGATAGTCAGTGTAGGATGGTCAGTGTAGGATGGTCAGTGTAGGATGGTCAGTGTGGGATGGTCAGTGTAGGATGGTCAGTGTAGGATGGTCAGTGTAGGATGGTCAGTGTAGGATGGTCAGTGTAGGATGGTCAGTGTGGGATGGTCACCCAATCTGGGATTGGCTTCATCAACCACCCCAATCGCTACACCAGCACTAACAACCAGATCGCAACTCTATAGTATCCCGAGACTGAAGGATGCCTACCACTACTATATACCTGCGAGCATCAGTACAACAACAACACAATATTGGTCCGCAGACGCTCCGTGCAACACTGTTCTCCTGCATTGCCAATGGAGCTTCACGCAGAACAACGCCAGGGACCTGCAATGCAGCAAGGTGCAACATACAACAACAACATCCTGCCTCGGACCCGTCACTCACAACACAGGTATTCGTTCACATCGGCCGAGTGGCGATCGATGTGTGTGTGTGGGATATGCAAAATTAACTACATTGAAGAGGAGATGGACAAGGGGCTCCATCTCCCTGACTACGTGCTCGCTGCCTGGCTTAAACGCTACTAGGGAAAGTCATCATTTAGGATTCCAAGTGTCTTTAGCTGAGCCCCTTTGGAGTCAAGTGATTATTTACAGAGCAATTTGAATTCAAAGGGTAATTAACGGGGCAATTGATGTAGTTACAGAAAATGAACCTCGCTTCTTCCTCCCCTCCCCCCCTTCATGAGTAAACAAAAGATAACTCAATCTTTTCCTGGTCAATAAACTGTTCCTTCGTGTCAAACAGCCACACATACACACACACACACACACACACACACACACACACACACACACACACACACACACACACACACACACACACACACACACACACACACACACACACACACACACACACACACACACACACACCACACCACACACACACACACACAAACCCACACACGCACTAGAGGACACAGGTGGAAACTTAATACCCAGATGAGCCACAGAGATATTAGAAAGAACTTTTTTAGTGTCAGAGTGGTTGACAAATGGAATGCATTAGGAAGTGATGTGGTGGAGACTGACTCCATACACAGTTTCAAGTGTAGATATGATAGAGCCCAATAGGCTCAGGAACCTGTACACCTGCTGATTGACGGTTGAGAGGCGGGACCAAAGAGCCAGAGCTCAACCTCCGCAAGCACAACAAGGTGAGTACACACACACAACATCTGGAGAGAAGGGACTTCGTGACAAATCGCCAACATGGGTTCAGGGAGGGTAAATCTTGCCTGACAGGCTTAATAGAATTCTACGACCAGGTGACACAGATTAAGCAAGAAAGAGAGGGCTGGGCGGACTGCATTTTCTTGGATTGTCGAAAAGCCTTTGACACAGTACCCCATAAGAGGCTGGTACATAAGCTGGAGAGACAGGCAGGTGTAGCTGGTAAGGTGCTCCAGTGGATAAGGGAGTACCTGAGCAATAGGAAGCAGAGAGTTACAGTGAGGGGTGAGACCTCAGATTGGCGTGAAGTCACCAGTAGAGTCCCACAGGGCTCTGTACTCGGTTCTATCTTGTTTCTGATATATGTAAATGATCTCCCGGAGGGTATCGATTCATTTCTCTCAATGTTTGCGGACGATGCCAAAATTATGAGAAGGATTAAAACAGAAGAGGACTGTTTGAAGCTTCAAGAAGACCTAGACAAGCTGAAGGAATGGTCAAACAAATGGTTGTTAGAGTTTAACCCAACCAAATGTAATGTAATGAAGATAGTTGTAGGGAGCAGGAGACCAGATACAACGTATCATCTGGGAGATGAAATTCTTCAAGTCAGTGAAAGAAAAAGACTTGGGGGTTGATATCACGCCAGACCTGTCTCCTACAGCCCATATAAAGAGGATAACATCAGCGGCATATGCCAGGCTGGCCAACATACGAACGGCATTCAGAAACTTGCGTAAAGAATCATTCAGAACTTTGTATACCACATATGTCAGGCCAATCCTGGAGTATGCAGCCCCAGCATGGAGTCCATATCTAGTCAAGCATAAGACTAAACTGGAAAAGGTTCAAAGGTTTACCACCAGACTAGTACCCGAGCTGAGAGGTATAAGCTACGAGGAGAGACTACGGGAATTAAACGTCACTTCGCTGGAAGACAGAAGAGTTAGGGGGGACATGATCACCACATTCAAGATTCTGAAGGGAATTGATAGGGTAGATAAAGACAGGCTATTTAACACAAGGGGCACGCGCTCAAGGGGACACAGGTGGAAACTGAGTGCCCAAATGAGCCACAGAGATATTAGAAAGAACTTTTTTAGTGTCAGAGTGGTTGACTAATGGAATGCATTAGGAAGTGATGTGGTGGAGGCTGACTCCATACACAGTTTCAAGGTAGATATGACAGAGCCCAATAGGCTCAGGAACCTGTAAACCTATTGATTGACGGTTGAGAGGCGGGATCAAAGAGCCAGAGCTCAACCCCCGCAAACACAACTAGGTGACTAGGTGAGTACACACACACACACACACACACACACACACACACACACACACACACACACACACACACACACACACACACACACACCTACCGTTTTGTTGCCAATGTTCCGGACGCGACAGTTGAGGACGGCAGTTTTGCCCAGCAGGGCCGTCACGTTGGGTGACTCCAAGAAGTCGAAGTAGGGCGTGTCTGGATCCCGACCAGCGTACCCCATGGCCTGAGGGCCAGGGAGCCCGAGGGCCTGACTCCCCACACCCTGGGTGTTGTACACGGTGGCGCGTTTGTGACCCAAGGCCGCCTGGGGGCTGTTCTGGTGGCCCCCAGCGTCGTCCTCATCCTGTCCCGTGTACCCGAGGGCCACAGGGGTGCCCTGGGCCCTCACAACCGGACTCTGCCCCCGGCCGGTGTCTCCCACCGACAGCACCAGATCTGCAAGAGAGAAGGTGACCCTCACAATCAAGGGGAAGGTGATCCTGGGAGAGATTGGAGAGGATAAACACACACACACACACACATTTAGGAGACAAATGGAAGAGAAAGTAAATCAATAAATCAGTTAACAAATAGGCTAGCGTACGGTGGAAACTGGTGTACTGCAAGGATGTGAAGCAGCATGGAAGATACTCTTCAATGTTGAGGTTTAAGCTGCAAAGGTGATGAGAAAGGTTAGGTAAGACTGGGGAAGACTCGTGTCCACCCTAACATACGTGAGACAAGCGCCGTGTAGCGCCTTGTTTCACGTATGAGGTGTCCAGAGGACCAATACGGGACAGACACCAAAGCCCATCCACCAAAACATTATGCCATCTGGCTCGTTAACTAAGCGACGTCCTTAACAATGGCAAGCATCAGAATAACTTTTTCAAAGGACTGTATAAAGTAGTGTTCCCTGATACGGTTATCACCTACGTAAGACCAGTTTGAGACTATGCAGTCCCCAGATTAAGATACTCGTCTAAAAAAATTACATATTTTGACAAGTACACATTAAAAAACGTATTCCGCTAAGCGTGTCCCGGATAATGGAAAGTAACTACGAGAGATTAACTGAGAGATTGAGAGAACTTGTTCTCACAACTCTGCAAACAAACAGAAGGACGACGGCTGCAAGACGGCTGCAAGACGGCTGCAAGACGGCTGCAAGACGGCTGCAAGACGGCTGCAAGACGGTGTGTTATCACACACACCGAGAAGAGGTGGACTTAAATAAACTCGGAGTATATATATGACCAACATTCGTTTTCTTGCAAAACTCTATATTTGCTTTTGTCGTGTTTCCTGAACATTAGCAGAAACCACATCATTTTCTAAAGTTCCTGTATGCAAATTTCGTGGGAAAGGGTCTAACTATAGATCGTTTTAATTTTATTCCTAATTTTAATATAAATCCCTATCCTAACCTTTAACAAACTAATCGAAAATTTTAAACAAACGAAAAGTTATTGAGAAAATTTTTTACATTAGGATATTAATAACAAAACAATTGACAATACATGGGTCTAACAGTGAAAATCAATTGCGGGCAACATAACAATTAACTCCATCCCTCTGTGTTCACTCAAGGGTCTCAGCAACCTGTCCTCTTAAAAAGAACGTCGCTTTTGGCCGTAATTTGAAAATGAAAAAAACATGAAAATAAATTTGGGATTTTTTTTCAACAACAGTAAGTTAAGGGTCCTCTGATAGGTTAGGTGGGCAGGAAATTCTCATAAAGTTTCAAAACGTGAATTGAAAGTCATCTATTCTAACCTTACAGAGTCCTCCGGATGACTCAAACAGAAAACGGAACAGTACGTCACTTTCGTGAGTCGATTTCATTTCAAATTACGTCCAAATTTGGTCATAGCGCCGCGCATACGAGCCAAAAGTGACGTTATTTTTAAGAGGACGGGTTGTATTTATACAACAATATTTATTTAAGACTTATCTGGCAGAAAATAGATAACAATCTATATTCCTATTCATTTGCTGAATATAAGGACACAGGCAACAGTGAAACGTCTTGTTCTACCGAGTCAACCGATGGAAGGGTAAGGTAAGGTAAGGTAAGGTAAGGTAAGGTAAGGTAAGGTAAGGTAGGTAGGGTAAGGTAAGGTAAGGTAAAGTAAGGTAAGGTAAGGTAAGGTAAGGTAAGGTAAGGTAAGGTAAAGTAAGGTAAGGTAAGGTAAGGTAAAGTAAGGTAAAGTAAGGTAAGGTAAGGTAAGATAAGGTAATTATCAGGAAAACCAGTAAGCCAGTACGCCTCTTATAGCACCTGACAAGGCAAGGTACTCTAGAGGTGACAGTGGACCCAAACACCACCATATACTCCACATATTAATGATATCGTGCAGAGACACGCTACTGGTGGACTCAGTCGTCTTTCAATTGAATGTTGCAAGGCGAGTTATGTGCTCCCAAGAGTGTCCTTGAACTCTCAAATGTTTATATATGGATCTTGAAAAATATTTTGCAATTGTAAAGTTATCATTTGAGAATGTCTGAGTTCATGAAAGTTTATTTCATTGTGAAACCCTGGTATTGTTGCGAGAGAGAGAGAGAGAGAGAGAGAGAGAGAGAGAGAGAGAGAGAGAGAGAGAGAGAGAGAGAGAGAGAGAGAGAGAGAGAGAGAGAGAGAGAGAGAGAGAGCGAGAGAGAGAGAGAGAGAGAGAGAGAGAGAGAGAGAGAGAGAGAGAGAGAGAGAGAGAGAGAGAGAGAGAGAGAGAGAGAGAGAGAGAGAGAGAGAGAGAGAGAGAGAGAGAGAGAGAGAGAGAGAGAGAGAGAGAGAGAGAGAGAGAGAGAGAGGAGAGAGAGAGAGAGAGAGAGAGAGAGAGAGAGAGAGAGAGAGAGAGAGAGTACAAGAGAGAGAGAGAGAGAGAGAGAGAGAGAGAGAGAGAGAGAGAGAGAGAGAGAGAGAGAGAGAGAGAGAGAGAGAGAGAGAGAGAGAGAGAGAGAGAGAGAGAGAGAGAGAGAGAGAGATTGTGCTGGTTATTGGAATTCCTTTCACCGTGTATGGTACCATGGGCCGAGATACCAACACTTGATATCCTCAGGCTCTATTCTGACGCTAAAAAGAAACAACGTTCAAGAACAGACTCAGAGCAGAATCTACGACGATCTACTTCCCTTCACTCATGAGCTTCAGCCATTGACGACGGTGATGATGATGATGATGATGATGATGAGAGATGATGATGATGCCTGAACTCGAAACTTTTGATGAGAAAAGACAATACCGGCGGCTATGAGGCGCAATTCAAATCATCGCATCTGGCGATCATTTCGATCTCGGGTAAGCGATGACAGACCAGAACCTGTGGACAACCACTACCACGCACAGCGCTCAGCCATCACCACACCCGTACTCTTAAAAAATAACGTCGCTTTTCGCTCGTATGCGCGCTATGGCCAAAAATGCACGTAATTTGAAACGAAATCGGCTAACAAAAGTGAAGAACTGTCCCGTTTTCTGTTTGGTTCCCCCCTGCTTACTCGGTTAGGTTAGCAGAGGAAACTTTCAATTAACGTTTTTCATGACGTTTGGAAACCTTAGGAGAATTTCCTGTCTCTCCTGACCTACCAGAGGAACCTTAACTTACTGTTTTGAAAAAAAAAAAATCCAAAATTAATTTTCAATTTTTTTCATTTTTCAA